TAAATTGTCTTCTCAAATTACTCCACTATCACAAGAGATATTAAACACTGAAGTATTCTGGGCACTCGTGCAGCAAAGACTCAATCAGAGTGAGGAGCAACATAACATTAATCACAGAAGTCTGTTATTTGAGTCCAGACTTCATTTTGAGTTACAGATTGAAAACTTTCATTTATCTTTTATATGACATGCATTTATTTAGCACTCTGGATTGATACAATTTACGTATCTGTACTTTTTCATCATTTCTGCTAATAGCTTTTTCACAAACCATGCTGCAGTTGATGCAGTGGTCCAGGCTTGGTGGAACATTTTTAAATTATGGGACAGGACAGAGATTTCCTATTTGGTGTCACTGGACTTGCCATACAGTGATGACTTGTAAAGCATGATAGCCAAACATTCCTACCTTTAATTTGCTTATACTCAATTCCACATGCTGCTTTTCTGCTCTGTGTCACCCAATTGTGCAGTTTATACAGCTTGTGTTTCCAAGTCTTTGCCCAGTTTACTCCCTGGTACGCTGTCTCCTGTCATTCAAATTTTTTTTTCTCCCCAGTAAAAATAACCTTTCTTCATTTCATTACTCCCTTCTCCCTTTTGTTTTTTAAATTTTAGCAAGTAGCAAAAATATAATCAATTTTAAAATGAAATTTCAAATAATGACAATCTGTGCAACCTCAGGTACAATGTGGTTTGTTCATTGAAGAAAATGACTAGTAATGAATTTTTATACAGAGATTCAGTGTCTCCTTCAGTGTTTCGACATTACTAAGCAGTTCAATATACAAAATTCCAGGAAATACTTTAAAAGATGTAAATCAATCATTGTAACCCAAGACAAGAGGCAATGAGAAATAGCTAAGCAGGTTTCAGTGATTCCTTATTTTTCAAGGTATTTAGTAGTATTAATATAAAAATAATCACATTACACAGCTTGGCACTGGATTGGTCATTATTTTAATGCATTTGAAATAATTTTGTTTCATATGATAGACAGCAGGACTTTGGGATTAGCAAAATATCTCTAGTTTAAAAATCAGTGGTTTCCAATGTGAAAAATAAAGTGTCATTTTCCTTTGTTTATTTAGACAGAAAAAGACAGTAACCCTTTGAGGACAGAAAAGAAGAATGAAGGTTTTTTTAGATGTGTTTAGTGCTTGATTTAAGATGCCAGAGGGTGGGGGGGGGAGGAAGTATCAAACCACACCACTAATGAACTGAGAATAAATGAGATTTAAAAAAAACTAGGATAGTTTTTTTAGGATAGTATAGGAAAAAATATTCAGATCTTAGTTGAAGTAGAGAAAGGATGAAGAATGGGGAATCTGTAGCTTTTTGACTCCCATCACCTTAAATAACAAATAAGTAAAGAACTTTAAAAAACAATGTACTGCAGAACCAGTATATAATTACCATGTTTTAAATTCCAAATTAGTTGAGATGCCAACAAAAGAAAGTTGAGGACAAAACTCTCAGCTGGGCCACTGAAACTTTTGAATGGCCAAAATCTCTCTGCAGTGTTTGCTTTTTGCATTCCAGGCTCTGTCTCTTCTTGTGTGCTGGAAGCAGTGAATGATCCCTGCCTTGGGAACTCATGGCAAAGCAGCTTTCAAGCAGGCCAATGCCCTGTGACATTTTCTGGTCCTGAACTGACAGGTGGTTCTGAGCAGCTCATGGGTGATTTAACTGGGGTGTGCAAAATGCAGCCTACAAGTTGATATTACTTGGATATGCAGCAATTAATAACCAACAGCCACTACTGTTACCCTTGCCTCTGCCATTATTCTTTTTCTGATTGATTCCCGATGAAATTGATTAAAGTACTTCCATGTAGAGGATACAGTTGCTGTGAAGTAAAGGGATAATAAAATTTGCCTTATACTTGTCAGGAAAGAGTATCAGAACAAATGCATGATTACCAGGAGGAGGTCATCCCCACTCACCCAAAACCCATCATCGTAGTTTTTGAATGTGTTTTTAGATTTTCTGTTACTCTCTAGACACATACTGCCATGTTCAGGGCCTCTGTTCCCATTGAAATCAGCAGCAAAATTGCCAGTGACTGATGGAAAAACCCCGTTAAAAATGTTTCAAAAGCATAATTTTCATTTTGGTAAACTCAATTTGTTGGCCAAAAATTAGATTTCTGATTGCTTGCTTCAATCATAGTTAGAGAGACTGGCATCTCTTTATGTCAGTTCCACTAGATTTATTCCTTCTAACATGCTCTAAAAAAGATCTATTGCTCACATTTTAAGCAAAAATTGGAAGATAGACCCTTAGCAATATAGAAAGACTCCAAATTCAGCGTTCAAGAACAATAAGAAAGAGCTCTGTTCTAAGTTTTGCTAATTTGCATAATATTATTTATTTTACTTTGCTTACAAGTAATGTTTTCTCAAATATTCCAGTTGTCTTTTTTTGATTTTTTAACCCTGAACTGCACTGTTCTTAATCAGAAATTTCTATGTGTAAGTAATAGTGGTTTAGTATTGAAGCTATTTTTGCTGTGAAATAGGGCAAGAAGAAATGTTTACTTCTTTTCTTTTATTTGTGAAGGGGGTGGTTTAGTATTTTTGGCGGTTTTTTTTGTTTTGTTGTGGTCACAAGTCAGTGTGGTTTGAACAAGTTGCTGGTTAGGTTCAGCTTTTAGTGCTTGGAGACCACAACAGAACCAGTGTGGAGCTTGGCTCAGGTGTAAGCCACTACTTTTATTTAATACCTTTCAAAAGAAAAAGCCCATGCTCGACAGAATCCCAAACTTGGCAGCTATTTACAGACCAGTTTTTCTTGGTACTGCTTGCTAGCATTGTGGTTGCTTCTTACAACAGCATTTACTGCTTCAAGAGCCCTCAGAACACGCTTGAAGTGCCAGACCACTGTCCTTCTGTGCTATTACTAAATATAAATTTTTCCACTTGAGTCAACTGAGTGAAGATCAGATGTTTTAAAAAGGGTTTGATTTTTATTTCCCCGAAGGCTGCTCTGCTAAAAAAAATTCAGTGACCTCATAGCTGAAAGTGACTGCAGATTTCCTATTAAATAACTGCACAGCTCTGTGAACTAGGATTATATTTTTGTTCTAATTTTTGTCATTTCAATTTTTATTTAAATGAAAATTGCATAGACCTTGAGATATCCCTGTTGGTACACCTCTTTGACTGAAATTTCCCCAATGCATTTGTAGGATATGAAAATGCTGTTAAACTAGACCAGCAGTCCCTTGGTATGCTAGGATAAAAGGAAAAGCCTTTCTTTGGATTCATCTTCATTAGGTTTTCCCTCTGAAGTTCTGAAACAAATGTGCTGTGCAGCTTGTTTCTTTCTTCCTGCAAATTCTAGTCTTGTTGTAGCTGGCTTTGGCATAACCAATCTTCTTAGGCTTCTTCTAGCAGGAACTTGTCATCCTGAAAAGAACACAGAATTCACCAAGATGTTCAGGGAATGTGGGCAGCCTTTGCTGTTGGAACAGCCATGTCCTCCCACTCGTGTCACTGGGATGCTGTGTGGCCTCTGTGGGTAATATCTGGGTTTGTAATTCTGTGGGAGACTCCTTGGTGGGGATTGAAACTCATTCATAAGATATGGAAGATATTCATACTTGCAACTTACTGGTAACTAGTAAACTGAAGTCATTCTACTCTCCCTTACTACAGCAAACAGAAAAGGTTTTGAGTAATCACAGATCTTGGCTCCAGCAGGAGCATTTTTCTTAGGGTGCCGTATTCAGAAGCTGGGGACAGTATGTAAATCATTATTTAGCTGCCTCTGTGTGGGTATCTGGGCTCAGGATGATACTCCTCCATGTTTATCTCTTGTGTCTGGAGAAGCTAGAGCTTTGTCTTCACTATGGCATCATTTCTTGAGTGTGCAGTCATGTCTGAGTGTTAATGTATGTTTGTCCTGGTCTGATTTAACATGGTGCAGGGCAGCACCTTTCTCCACACCCATCTGCAGCTAGCTGTGCTCTGCTGACCCTTGGTGTGCTGTCAGCACAGTGAATGTGGAAGGGCACTATTTCAAAATTAGGAGGGCAGTGGAGAAGATATGTCATCTGCCTGAAGCTAACATCTCATTCAGGGAACAATTTTATCCAAGGTTAATGGAAGATCAGACTCTGTATCAGGCAGCTGAAGCAAAATCACGGTGATCTGTTAAATGTGGAGAAGGGTAGCTCCATTCCTGAGCTGTCATGGTGCACCTGCAGCATTTTGATAGGGTTTGACAGGTAGTGTTTGACAATTTATTGACACAAATATCCTCTGTGCTACTTTAAGTGTCTGCTTTTGTGTTTGTGGGTGGAAATAAAAGGTTTGGGTGGAGAGAAGTGAGAGACATTTCCTGCGATTTGTAAAGCAGTGGTGTACCAGCAGTGGCTGAGTAAACAGGAAAGGGAACACCCCCTGCACTGGTGTGGGTGAGCCCTGGCCACAGCCAAAGGACCCCAGCCACACACTCCCCCTGCCTCAGTGAAGCCTTGGGTTCTGCAGGTGAGGGCACACCTTTGAGAGAGGCACCTGCTTTTTCAAATATGTGGGCACCTGCTTTTTAAAATAGTTCTTGATCTAACTGCAGGATTTTTACAAGGTACTGATTATAATGGGGTGTTCAGTGGTATCTGTGCTATAGGGAAGGGAAGTCCCAAGGAGTTACTTGATAATGTCATGATATTAGGCAGGATAATACCCCCTTATCAAGGGTTTGTAAACTTTGCCTGAGAATTGCTGTAAATTACTTAAGCCTTTCCTTCGGGTTTTTTAAAGTAATACCACTTCAACGACTTCTGGTTGTTATTTTTAAATAATACCACTTCTGCATTCTCTTCTGTGAGAATGCAGAACAATGCATTTGTATTTGTGCTGGATAGTTGTTGGGAAGGGGAGTAAATGACTGAGAGATGTGTTGTGTTAAATAGTTAACAGATTTCTTTGCTGCAGGGCTACTTTGGAGCGAGGGGATGTTCATCCACTCTTTCTCTCCCATTTTTCTTTATTAAGGTGGAGTTCAGCTGAGACTGACTTCTTTTTTGGCTGTCCATAAACTGTGAAACAGAAGGATGCAGAAGACTATCCCCTGCATTTTTGCCCATGAGCGATAAGAGCACAAGATCATCAATACAATTCTGCTGCAAAGATGAGTTCAGAGGAGAAGAGTATATCTCCAGCTCACAAAACATCCACTCCATCACATAGAAGTGCCTCCTCCTCATCATCGTCACAGAGAGACAGGAGGCAGGTAAGTAAATACTCCAGTTGTTGGTACCATCTGGTGGGATGATAGATTTACTCCTGTAATGTGGCTGTTCTTGTTAGCTCTAGATTTGCTTGCTTATAGCATTGGATGATAGCACTGCAGCCAAAAATTGTTGATTTTTTGAATTTACATTTTCGATTTCCTAAAGTGGCTTGAAAAAGATTTAGAAGCAGCAAGGGCACTGGTGTACAGCATTGGAACAGGAAGTATATAATCTCATGGACAAGTAGGAAACATGCTCTGGAGTCTTTTGGGAAGTAGTTTCTTTGGCAGCATGAGCCTGCAGTTGCTTAAAGTCGTCCTGTGTCATCTGTGAATATCACTTTTTGTAAATCCAATAACAGAGATAAATTATTGTTTTAGAAAGTGGTAATTCAGTTTAAATACCATATTGTTCATCCTTTCTGTAAGCACTTAACATTTTAAATATTATTTGTTTCACTACAAATTAACACTGATTGTACTACCTCATAGAGTACTAACCCAGTTATGTTAGACTTCCATTTTTAGTAGACTCTTGTTTGTGTTGATGAAATTCTCCAGGATCTCTTTGAGATGAAGACTGTATTAATTCCCCTCATGGCAATTTGAGCTTTCCTGTGGGGTTTTTTTTGAGGGCTGGGTGTACAGTGTGGCCATGTGATTGGTGGGAGCACTTCAGCAAATATCAGAGCTGTGTATTAGATTTCAGATAAGTTCTTACACACATATTTTACAAATGCAAAGGTTGATACAGAAAAATTGGTTTAGACCAGAAACATATTTTAAAAGTGTGATCCATGAAAGAGGCAAATAATTTAAAAAAATTCAAATAAAAATCATTGGCTTAGGAATATTTTCCCAGCTACTTGTATGGCAGCTCTGATACTGTTTTCTCAGCTGCTGCTGAGGAAGTTTCTTCCCTTACCTCTTAAGAAAACTTTGAAACTCAAGAGTTTTTAATGAAAACTGTAAAATTTACAGGTTTGAATGTAGATAGTCTCACCACAGGGTACTTTTTAAACTTTAAATCAGGAGAAGAATTCTGATGTATGCTCAATAACAGGCAGGAAATGTGTGTGCATTTTTTTAATAATTTCTATTGCTTAAGAAGGTCCAAAAAGTATTTTCTCACAGGTGATAAATATTTTCCCTTTTGCAGTGCACAGAACTTTGGATAGCTGTAGTTAGTTAAATCTTGGTTAGGATATAACCTTATAATTTTTCATTAGTTCCATCTGGAGCAAGAATTTTGATATCATTTCTTTAAAGCATCTGTGTATTTTATCTCCCACATTTAAGCCCAAAGAAGGTAAATGCAAGACTGGCAGGAGCTGCTGGTCTCAGCTAAGAGCATATTCTCTGAGTTTTCTTTGTAATTAGTTCGACCCAACTATGCAATTAGGAATAAAAAAAAAAAAAAAGCCAAACCAAAAACCTCTTGTGAATACATTTTACCATAAATCTGATGGCTACCACATCTGTTACCATAGCAACAGTACAGTGCAAGGTATACCTGTCATCATAATGAAATGGATGCTTAAATTTAGTCCATATTTGATCACGGAAATGTGAAGCATGATTTTAAAATAATGCTGCAAAGGTTGATGGTGTGATGCATCCAGAGGATCCCATAAAGTGTGATGATGCTTAGTGAGTACTTAGGCATGTAAATGTGGACTGGAAGGGCTACTCTGAGGCGTTTGTTTTTTGCCTCAGTTCTCTCAGTGTTAAAGCAGGAGAATGAATGGGTGAGCAATTTCTTCTGCAGAAAGAAACAGAGCTGCAGCAGAAATGGACTGCAGTGGTGCTGTACCCAGGGCAAGGAGCATGCACACTTCCTCTCTGCATGTACACACAGTAAAACATCCATTTCATCCCACCACCAACTGTAACAACTGTATTTTAAATTTCTTTCCTTGCTTATAGTATTGTTTTTATGTATATTGGTTTTTATGTATATTAGTTTTCATTGCCCTTTTGCCCAAACAGAGTGATGGCTAGGGGTTAGGGGATTTTGGTTCAGTGGCTGTTGGATTTTACTTTGAAAACGCTTTAAAACTCTGTCGTGCTGCCTCCTTGGACTCTTCAGAGCAGCTAGTGGAAAAGCACCCTTCCTAAATTGGTAATATAAATGAATATGGAAAGTGATGTGACTGGATGAAGTGCCAATGTAGCTTTTATTGTCATATGTGAGGATAACACTGGATATTTCTGGATGGTTAATGACTGAAACCTTCTCATCATATAATTCTTGTCAAAGTCAGACCAGCAATTAAGGAACAGTTTCCCAATAAATTATGATACAGGAGGCTGAATGAGTATGAACATGACTATGATAAATCATTTTAGGGAGAGTGGAAAGTGTCATGCTGTATATAATGCTGGCATTTTAATGTATCTGTTTTATGTGTACAATATACATGACCTAAGAGAATTAGCAGTCAGCAAAAGTTTTGACATTGCTTATTTGCAGACTCAATGACTAATAATTAAGCCAACAATAACTAAAAAAAACTGATTTCAGATTTTTCTTACTAATTTTCATTAAAGTGTGTTTAATTTGGATGATTAGATGGTAGAAGACCCAGAAAGGACCCGTTTTGTTTAACCCCTGAGTTGGACAGGGTGCAAGGCAGCTGTGATACCCTTGATAAGGAGTACTTCAGAAGGGAGAAGCAACAGATTTCCTGCTGTGGAACTGTTGCAGAGCATGAAACCTGTCACTTCCACTGTGAATAAGAGTTTTGTACAAAAGGTAGCATAAAAAGTTAAATTCTGATGGCCTTTTTGTGGGCCATATTGGCAAGGTAGATTCTTGTGTTTCATCCCTGAGGAAGCTCTGAAAAGTCTGGCTTTATATTGCTGCACAGCAACATGGAGGAAAACTAACAACTCTTAGAAGTACAGCTGACTATGATAAAATCATATGATGTATATTCAGTTTTATAGGTTTAAGTTCTTTATGAACATTCCGTATTTTATTTATTGACCAAGTATGCAGCTCATGAGGCATGCTGTAATACATTATATATTCTCTGCAATGTGTGGGTTGTAATATTGTGCTGAGAAGAAAGAAGTAAATACATCATAGGGTTAATAATGTGCAGTTTGGCAAATTGGAGCCTGACCTCAGGCTAATAAGCAGAGGGGGTGATACAGGAGAACAATAATATTGAAACTGTGAACAGTTGACTTTTCTGACCATCACCTAAAGGCTAGCTAATACATAATGTAAAAATGGATATAGCAATGTTTTATCTTTTAAGTGTGAGTTCTCTTCTAACATCTTAACTTTCCTTTTGGCCTTCTATGGGGGAGATCACCATTCTCTCACTCTTTTTGTGTTTTTCTTTACCAGTTTGCTTTTTCAACAAATCCTTGGTTCTTTTCCTACACAGCAATCTCAAAAGAAGAAAAGCTTTTAGTCCTATTGCATTTAGCCTTGTGTTGTCACCTCTTCACCTGGAGAGATTTCATATTTCAAACAACTGTTGTCTTGTAGCCATATGTAAAGAGTGAAAGGTGGGAGCTTTGAAGGAAGAGGAAAAAAGATTTTCCAGAGCAAAGATCTGCTTTTCAGGTTTTAATATGGCTTGTTGTTTGTTTTTTTTTTTCCCTTCTGCACAAGCAGTATTGACTAATAGAAGGGGTGTACCCAAGGGATTCACAAAACACTTGAGTTTGGGCTGAAAATGTTTACCTGGCCATGAAATTTAAAAGCAGAGCTTGTTTCCAAGGCTCTGGTCTTGCCTAAAGGTCTGCACTGGAAAATGCCTACTTAGGTTTTTGCAACCACTGTATTTTAATTGTCAAAGTGGTCTCCTGAAAGTGGTATTTCCTAAGGTGGATATCAGCATTTTGGAGATGCTTAGACAGTGCTGCTCATGCAAGATTGCAATGTGACATAACCTAATGTATTCCATGTGGAAGAGACGTCTGAGCACATTTATGTACCTTTTATTCTGAAAGTGGGCAGCAGCTACATGCTTGCTCATGGCTGTCAGCCTGATGTGACATCTGGGAAAAATATTCTTGTTGGTTACCTGTGATTTCCACTTGTTCCTGTCTCTCTGTGACTTCAAAAAGAGAAAGGCAAGGCTGGACAGTCTGGTAGACACAGTACAGACCTGAGAACGTGCAGCCATACTAATAGCTTTGCTCTGTAGCACAGCATAGACTTTGAGAAGCCTTTTTATTTTGCAGTAGTTTGTGAGGATTATTTTAATAATAATTATTAATCTTTCTGAGAGTTTCAAGCTAAAGAGGCTACTAAATGCCAAGTGCTGTTGTTACAGTGATGTAATTCTCTTTTGCTCGCTTTCCTAATTAACTCCCTTTGCATAAAACTATTGAAGCAGGATTACAGCAGGAAGTGTTGAGTACTTTAAAGGCAACAACTCACTGGAGCAAGCAAATGTTCTGAGGGAGCCAAAGAATGAAATGGCAAAATTGTTAACAAAAACATGCAATTATTCTTTAAATTGATTAGTTGCTGCTGCTCTACAACATTTTTTTTTCCTGTGCCCTTGGTAGAGTGTGAAAATTTTCCTTAGGTTTGGAAGGTAGTGGGTCTTCAGTGCCTGACAAAATGTCTGAAGCAGTGTAACTTTTCAAGCTGTACAATATTCATGTGAATGTTATGTTACATTCAGTGCCACAGCACCTTTTAAAAACAAAATCATAAATTTCAGACCAGTAAGATTTTTATCATTTCAGTGGTAAGATTGATGAGTGAACTAGACTACACACAATCAGAAGCTGGCTGAACTTAGACAGTGAAGCTCTCTGGACTACAGGTTTATCTGGGGATGAGATAGGAACCCCTGCAAGTGAGACTGGGAGGGAATAGGCACAGGTTGATCCCAGGGGTGAGGCAGACCCCCAGGTACTGATGCTGATGGATGAGACATTCTGCAGTGCTGGGAATCCTTGTGGGAAGGTGCATTGGAAGGATGAGACTTTGTGCAGTGCTGGGAATCCTTGTGGGAAGGTGCATTGGA